ATATATATAATAGTGATACAATGGTGTAATGGGTACTTTCCTATCTTATTATATGCAATATATACTTTCCTATCTTGCTACATATGCTCATAAGGAAAGAATAATATGTTTATTATTGCCTTTTCAAAACTAGGATTTTTTAATTTTGTTTTCATTACTACTATTATTAAACTTGGCTTGGAAGGAAGTTGAGGTTCGAGTTTGAAGCAAAGATCTTGAAAGTTGTCTCGGGGCAATGGCTTGGTGAAGGTATCTGCTAATTGATTACGCAAGGAAACAAATTGAGTGACAAGTAATCCACATGTAACCTTTACATGCACAAAATGATAATCTAACTCAATGTGTTTTGTCCTATCATTAAAACATGATTAATTGTCATGTAGAGAGCACTAATATTATTATAAAAAAGTGTTGGCGTTTGAGAAAGTGGATACCCAATGTCTCGAAGAATTAAAGAAAGCCATGTCATTTCTGCAGTAGTGGATGTCATAGATCGGTGTTCTGCTTCAACACTTGAGTGAATCACAATCAACTGTTTCTTAGCACTCCAAGATATGCAGTTGGAACCAATATAGGTGCAAAAACTAGTGATTGAACGGTGATTGTTGGGACACCTAGCTCAGTCGGCATTAGAGAAAGCGTATAACTCAAGGGAACTAGCAGATAAGATTCTTATATTGTAAGACTGTGTATCATTGATATAGCGAAGAATCTGCTTAACTTCTTATAAATGTGAAAATATAAGGGCATGCATAAATTGACACATTGTAATGCCACTATAGGAAAGGTCAAGCCGTATTATGGTGATGTACTGGAGTGCACTAGCAATGCTCCAATAAAGAGATGTAACAAGAAATATATTAGAATTCCTACAAACATTATTCTTCACCGCCATTAGTGTTGAAATAGGTTTGGCACCTAGCATCTGGGCACAATCAAGAAGATGCTGGACATATTTGCTTTATGACAGAAAGATTCAACCAGAAAAATAAGATATCTCTATGCCAAGAAAATAGTGAATGGGTCCAAGATCTTTCATCGTAAATTCTCTTCCAAGTTGGGTAATAAACTATTTCAAAAAAAATTTGAATTATCACATGTAACAATAATACCATTGACATAGAGGAGAAGGATAATAATGCCTTAAGTAATACGACATACAAATAGAGATGAACAAATTATATTGCAATGAAACCCTAATGATAATAAGTAGATATTAAATCAATCAAACCAAGCTCGAGGTGCTTGCTTGAGATCATCTAAAGCCCTATTTAATTTGCAGGCATGATTTTGATATTTTGAGCAAACAAAGCCAGGAGGTTATTCCATAAATACAAATTCATTAAGAAAGCCATGCAGAAAAGCATTTTTCAAATCAAGTTATTTTATACGCCCATGATGAACAATAGCTATGGTGAGCACAATTCGAATACTAGTAAGTATAATAACATGACTAAAAGTTTCAAAGAAATCAACTCTAACAACTTAATTATATCCTTTCGCTACTAGTCTGGCCTTAAGTCTCTTTAGACTACCATCAAACTTTAGTTTAGTCTTATAGACCCAACACCAACTCTCAAGTTGGAATTAACATGTGGGGCTTCAATTTTTTCTTCCATTGCATGATACCAGCCCTGCTGTCCAAAGGAAGACTTTATGAACTTAGGTTCAGAAGGGATAGTTTCAAAAGTATGAGTATTTGAGATTGCTGCCATGGACATGAGAATTTCAGGTTTTCGAGTACCATCTTGAGTTTTTGTGACCATGTTTCCTTTCAGTTATTCCATTTTAGTTCATCACAATTTCACAAAAACTCAAGATGGTACTCGATTTGGGAACTAATTCCCAAGATTTGGAATAGTTCTCGGACATTAGTGCCTCAACTCATATGACATGAGACTTAGGTAAACTGCAAAACCTTTGCCCTTATAGTGGTAGAGATATAGTCATGGTTGACACTGATATGCAATTGACTATTTCACATGTTGGTGAGGTAAATGTTGATGTTCGGTCTAGAAAATTTAATATTTCGAATGTTTTTTTCGTGTCGGAGATGAATAATAATTTACTATCTGCTAGCCAGTTTACAAAGGATTTTCCTTTTATTTTTTAGTTCTATATGCATGGAATGAATCTCATTCTATTTGTGCTAGTTGTCAGATGGGTAAAAGTTGTGAACACCCATTTAGTAGTACTGATAAGATTTTTGCAGAACCTCTTTTTAAGATTCATTCAGATTTATGGGGTCCAGGTCAAATTGTATCTAATCAAAGTTATCACTTTTATGTAGTGTTTGTGGATAATTATACTTGTTTTCCTTCTATTTATCCTTTGAAAAGAAAATCTGAAGTTTTTTTTGCATTTGTGAAATTTCATCGTATGGTTGAAAGGAGATTTGAAAAACGAATTTGAATTTTTCAATGTGATGGAGGTTGTGAGTTTGCTAAGAAAGAATTCATTGCTCATCTTATTGATAATGGAATTGTGCAACATATAACATATCTAAGAACCCCTGACTAACTCAAGATGGTACTCGAAAACCTGGTCACAATTTCAGGTTTTCGAGTACCATGTTTCCTCATCACCGTCTAAAGTTCATCACAAGGTCATAGTCGTCTAATAGTATTTGAATTTTTATAATTATTTAACTAATCAAATTTATCTAAAATTTGGGACCTGTGTACATATGACATAGTCGCACCAAAATAAAATATTAAAAAAATAATAGTCACAAAATAAAATAACAAAATTACTTCTGAAACTTTATAGGGATATTTTGTATAACTTTTATCATTTAAATTATTTGTTTTCATGTGCATCTCATTAAAGCGCACACACCTACAAAATTTCAGATCATTATGATTTTTAAAAAAAATATAAAATTTTAAACACAATCAAACATCTGTGACCGTGTGATAAACTTTGAACGGTGATAAAGCCGTAAGTGAAGTACTGTAGA